ATTCATATTTTGTATTGTGCGACTTGAAATTACGTATTGAGAACGATGTCTGAATTTTCTTCTTCGATATTTGCTTATTTCCGCCGGTATGCAAATTTCTTGAATCTGATTGGTTAACCGCCGGTTGCATGCAAACACGCCCTCTAGTGAGCGTTTACTTTCACTGTGAGTATTTGCATATTCATTTGTTCTTATATTCCCATTGGATGCGACGGTTTTCGTTATATCAGGACATGACTGATCGCCTTCTACCGCCGGTATTGGTTTTATGTGTTTCACTTTTTGACCCCTAGGCTTCATTTGGGCCTTAGGATTTAGAGCATCATTTATCATTTTTATTTTCGCTACTATAAAACTTTCATCGTAACGACTAGTCTCGGGTGCCGCTGCGGATGGAAACCGGGACAAATAATCTGCCATTCCCATTTTAGACCCCTGTCTGTGTTCAACTTTAAAATCGTACGGCACTAAACGATCGTACCAACGCGTTAGTCGGCTGAAAAACGTTTTATTTCCTTTCGGAGATGAATTTAATAACGTTAGCAGGGCCTTGTGGTCCAAAACAACTGTGAAATAACGGCCATATATGTAATTCCGAAAATGTTCCGTAGCTCACACTACCGCAAGTAATTCTAATTCGTTTGTGGAGTATTTTTTCTCAGCCGGATTAAGGTAACGCGATGCAAACGAAATGGGATGCCACCCGGATGCTCCATACTGTTCTAACACGGCCCCTAAGCCATCGTGACTAGCGTCACAAATAATTCTAGTTTCACGGTGAATGTCGAAGTGTCGTAATTCGACAATATTTTTCACCAGCGATTTTAAATGTTGGAATGCATTTTCTCAAACGTTTGTCCAAACAAAATCGTTATTTTGACTTAGTAGTGGCCTCAACGGTGCGCTTAATTCTGCGAGTTTGGGTAAAAACTTGTGTAAACTGTGTAGTGATCCCATCAAAGATTTCAACTGCTTTCGAGATTTAGGGGTTTTCAGGTCTTCAATTGCTTGTGTTTTCTTACTAAGGGTGTGATACCACTTTCTCCAATTCGAAATCCGAGCCATTCGCACTCTGTTTTCGCAAATTCACATTTTCGTAATTTTAATGCGACATTAGAAATATCCAGCTTTTTCAATATCTTTTCCACCAACTCAATGTGTTCGATCTTAGTTCCTTTTGAAGCAATTAAGATGTCATCAATGAACGCGTTAGCTTGGGGGAACTCCTTAAGTAAATTATCAATTACTTTTTGGAATTCCGCCGGCATTGACGTAAGCCCGTAAAATCCGTTTTTAAAACGATAAGTCCCTGTGGATTTCCCACCAACCAGTGAGAAATTGCACTGCTCGCTTGTTTTTTGTTCTAAGGCGACTTGTCCGTACGCATATGTGAAATCCAACGTTGTAAAATATACATTCCCCGCTTTTTTCTCTGCGATAATCTGACTTACTCCGTCTACTAATTCGTCAATATTTGGCATTTGGTACTTATTCTTGTGTACCTGCTTGTTTAATTCTCTTGACTCCAGTGCTATTTTTATACTTCCATCTTTTTTTACTGTAATTACGATAGGAGAGACGAAATACTTATCTGAGCATTCTTGCAATTTTACGATATGCCCTTCATTCATCAGCCGATGAATTTTTTTCTCCACCTTATCTTGTAGACTGATTGGCACCCTGCGCCCTTTTTGTTGTATTGGCCTCAAATGGTCAAAAAAGTCAGCTCTTACTTTTGCATTCCGGATTTTCCCTATCCTAGTAAACAAATTTGGGTACAACTTACAGAAGTATGTTTGCAATTCGTCATATTCCTCCTCCTCTTGACTGATTCCTTCCCCTGTGATTCCCATCACTTTCTTCCGTTGGACTAACTCGATACCCAGGGTGCCCATAAGATCGCGCCCCAGGATTGACTGATGATTCCCGGATATAACTGACACTTGTGCTGGTGCTGCCCAGCCGTTTAATGACATCATCACTGTTACCTTTCCCAGTATGTTTAATCGATTGTTGTTGTAATCCAGGAATTCGTCTTTTGAAGGTTGTAGTTGAATATTCGCTTTACCTAACGTTGTTTTTAAGTCGTTAATGCTAAAAATAGTCACTGGGGATCCACTATCGATCCCTAACCACATTTTCTTCCCTGATACTTCAACTTGCACGCGGGCCCCAGGGATCTTCAGTTCAGTTTCATTCCTCTTCCTGTGTATTGACATTACCATGTAATTGTCCGATCCCGACGTCATGGATTCATTTTCCCCGCACCCCTGCTGATTGACCCACGACACTGGATCTTCATTCAAGTCATTTACGTTTTGTGTACTTTGGTGATGCTAATTTTCCTCCCTAACCAGTCCGACTCGTCCTCGTTCCCTCCATTGGTTAGTACCTCTTCTAACTCCTCGACATGTTCTTTCAAAATGTCCCAACTTTTGGCACGAGTTACATGTTGCTCCTCTTGCAGGACAGCTCGCGATGTGATCCAGGGTAAAATTTGGTGCGTCGCAATTGTAACACCTACGGTTATTTCCGCTTCCTCCACTACTACTTGATCCTTGGGTGTATCCTCCACGTCCCCCTTGTCCTCGACCTCGAAAAAACCTTTGTCCCCTTTTTATGTTACTTACCGGTTCTTGCTTTATTGAAATTGCCGGAGCTGTTGAAGCTGGTTTTCCCGTATATGATTTGTATGCGCGCTCCTCGCGTTCATATGATAATGCGATCCGGTAGACTTCTTCAGGTAATTTAGTTGATCGTGATAATTCTCGTTGGCAATCTGACTCCCGCATATTCATAATGAAAATGTCACGAACATTTTTGGACGCATTTGCAAAATCTCATCTACCTGCTAGAGCGCTTAGTTCCGCATGGAACTTTTCGAACGTTTCGTTCTCCCGTTGTTTTCGTCCGTAGAAAAGACCCCGTTCATGAGTTACATTCCTCTCTCTTTGGAACACATTTTGCATCTCATCTAGAACCCGTGGGTACCGTTCCGTTTTAATGTTAACCGTCGGTTTCCGTGCTTTGAATATCCGTTGCGCCTCGTCTCCGATACAAAGATATAGATTAGACTTTAACTTCTTTTCCGACTCGAGACGGTTTTTCCCATTTACTTCTTCAGGCAACGCCGTGATAGCCGCCGCATTTAGAGTACTTGCAAAATAGAAATCATCGGGATCAATATCGTACTTTGCTATCATCCCCCAGTGAAATTTAATTATCCACTCCTCCCAATAGACTGGAGGTTCCGGTGTTCATGCTTCCCAAAATGCTACTATGTTTAGTGGATTTTTCCCTCCTCCTTCTTTTTCAGCTGGCTGCGCCGATTTTTGGTTTGCAATCGAGTGTGTGGATTATCCAAATCTTCTTAGCTCTAAGCCCTTGCAATTAGGAGATTGGACTTTGTTTTCTCGAGGTGCGGAGATTTTTTTGAAAACTTTCCAACATTTTTAATACCTTTTTTTAAAATCAACTTGGTTTCTTGACCTATTCTAAAACCCTTTGAAAATCATTTTCGATTCAACAAGCAACATAATAATGAGAAAACTGTTGTTAATGGCCACATTTTGGAAGGTTTTTATTGAACTTTTTTTGGTGCAATTTACCTGTCTAAAAATTAGTACATTTTGTTGGACCAGAAAACAGATGCGGTAAAATAGTACCAAAGGAAGGACCCTTTCAGTGGCAAGGGGGTCGAATTGCAGAGAAGAAGAAGAACGTCCGTAGATTCCATCCAACCCCCACTCCGTACACTCCCCTGCCATGATGTTTTGGATTTCAACTACAATTACACCTCGACTGGTTTAGCAAAACTAATGAAGCAGCAGTTTTCACCGGATTCGCCAGTTTTTACCCTTATAAAAGAGCAGTTTCATGATTGCTTTAAGAGATTTTTCGGGGTTCTAAAGACAAATCTAGGAATGCAGAGTTCAAATGACGCATCCAGAAACAACAAAGTTAAGACCAGAAAAATGGGGAATCCAGTGAAAAGTCTAGAAGTTAGTTTCAACCAGTCAAAAGGCGTTCGTCGTCGGTTTGAACAGACAGGAAAAAACTTATCGGCTTTTTAGGTTTAAGCGTCAACTTGAAGCTTAAATTACTTTTAGGAATTTTACTGGTAGCAAAGCAAAGCTTTGAGAGGTCATCAAAACCCAAGGTTGAATTTTTAATGAAAAAGTTTGATAATTTTCCCTCTGTAAATTTCTTAATGACGGTCGGATTATGATGATGTTATAGAAGGAATGAACAAAATGATTAAATGCCATCAAATTTTCACTGAAATTAGCAATATGCGCATAGCTTAAAATTTCAGATATTTCGAGAGGCGTTAGATGGATGGCAAATGGTAAATGAAGAGCCTTGCGTTTTTTTTATTTTCGAACAAGAAAATTTCATACATTAGAAATATTTTCTTTTTTAGAGTTAGATATTTATGTGAGTTATGAGCCGATTTAAAAACGTTTCTAGGGAGAAATTTCAAAACTATTTTTAATTGCTATTTTTTTGTTGGTGTTAATCTTGTGTTTTGATTAGCTCAACAGACTGCTACGAATTCTAATTGTTTTACTAATTAACAAAAAGTCATTTGATTTGCCAAATTACATGTACAACCTTCAAGTGATTTTGATGGCAGTCTTATGTAGCATTGGCGTGAATTGAACTACGTTTAAAGAAGGATCTTTGAGATAAATTAGTCAGGAATGTCGTCTTGAATGTCAGAAGATTACACATAAATCACCAGTCGCTGTTATAGAACTTCTGTTTACATATATAATTTCAGTTCAAGCATCGCGGAGTCATGGCGTTAGAATTGGAGACATTTTGCCTAATAGAACTAAATCTCGTATCCTTTTCAACAATTGGCTGATGTTATTTGATCTATGTTCTTCAAAATAACCAAAATCTATTTGTCCCGAAGTATAATTTTATCGCTTTTTACTTGACATTATTTGACCTCTGAAAAGCTAACTAGAAATATCAAATAAATCTATTCAAAGATGAACACAAAAGCTCGAAAACTTGCCGCGTTTACAGCCGGGCTGAGTCTTTTCGTAGCTCTCGGAATTCACGACTCCTTGTGGAGCCCATTTCTTCCGAACGAGTATGATGATTTGGGCATATCTGCCTTTCAGGTCGGGGTTGTAGTTTCCGCAAGTGAGGCATCAGCACTCGTCAGTTGTCTGATTGCAATGACGTTCGGCGACTTGAAGCACCGTCGGTTTCTGTTCAGTTTCGGCTCTTTACTTCTCGGATTGCTGTGCTTGGCGTTCAGTCAAATGAGCCGAATCAGGAACCCAGTTATTCTTGTTTTCACTTCCGTTCTGATTCGGACAACAATGGGTTGCGGCGCTACGCTTATTTGGTGCTGCGGCTCGGCTATTTTCGTTGCAATGTTCCCCAATCACACAGGAAAAGTGTGCAGTGCTTTGGCGACGGTCCTCAACATAGGCATCATGGCTGGTCCCCCTTTTGGTAGTCTGTTTTACTCTATCGGGGGGTTCGAAGCACCGTTTTTAGCAGCGGGAGTTCTACAGATCACGCTTTGTTTCATAAATTACTTCATTATGCCTGCAGACGTCTCTGAGAGAACTCAGACTAAAGACGATGTCCTTCAATGTGATGCTGGCTCCCAGAATCATGAAGACAACGAAAGAGAAGCCAAAATTATGTCTGCAATCGAGCTTCGCAAAATCTCAACTTTGAGGTTCCTTCGCAACCCCGGAGTCATGTTTCTGTCCCTGGCTGCCATTTTGGGAGCATCTTCGACTGGATTCTTTATCGTATCGTTTTCTTCTTACCTTCTGGACGAGTTCGAAATATCCAGCGAGAACGCTGGACCTTATTTCCTCCCATTTACTCTCGTTCGAGCGGTGAGTGCTCCTGTTTTCGGCATCTTAGTCGACAAAGGTTTCAGAATTAGCGTCTTCTGTGCAATCGGTTGTTTCCTCAACTCTATAGGTCTCGTTTTACTTGGAACTATTAATTATTTTGAACATCTGAACAATTTGATTTGCGTCGAAGTCTTAACGTTTCTGATCGGCATGAGTGCCACCGCTTCTTTTGTCGCATTAATACCTTTGATTCGAGACTTCTACGCCCGCAAAAGTGGTATAAATATGGACATCATTAATTTTTATAATTCTGCTTTGTACGGATGTTGTTTCACTTCTGGAATGGTGCTAGGACAAACTGTTTTCGGAGGAATTCTAAGAGATCATTTGGATTTTCACGGAAGTTGCCTGGTTTTGGCAATTGCAAATACTGTTACAGCTATTCTAGCTACTGCTTACCTTCTAAGAGACAATTGGAAACTGAACTCAAAACACTTAAGCTCTGTTGAACAAAAGCTCAAACAGATTCCTTGTTGAAACAATTGACGAAAACCGAAGGTATCTGGGTAGAACTACATACAAGAACACAATATATTTGCAAACGCTCTAACATATAAAACCATCATATTCTGACTTTTAATAGTTTTTTTAATAGTTTTTTTGTGAAGATAAAACAATGGCAGCCTAGCCTATGGTAAGAATAAGAGGAATAAATTTATATTTATCTGACGAATATCGAATAATGATAACTTATTATTTTTTTTTAATGTTAGATTACTAGAGTATTTCATTTTATTTTGTTTTAGCAATGTACATACTTTTCATTTATATTCTATGACTTTTAATCAATAAAATGTTTATTTTTGTAAAAATAAAAAATTTGTGGGTAAATCATGAGAACACCGTTTGAAAGCAATAAAAAATAATACGTGAGACTCCAATAAAACGGTGAGCTTCATTACTATTGAAGAAATGAATCATCAAAAGAAACTTGGGTTTTTCACATTAACAATCTCGCTACAGCATAGGTAATAAAAGTTTTTTTTTCACCGCGAGAGAATTTGCGACTAAAGTTTTTTAGCCAAAAACTGAAACAAAAGTAGAGTATGGACGTCGACAAATTTTTTTTACCAGTTAAACCCTTTCAAAAGTCCTCAAATGCTTGATTTTTTTAAATATTTGTAATTCGATTTCTGAATGATAAACTATGGCAAAGCATTAAACTAATGTGTCTTTTAGTTTACGATAATTTCTTTTAGTTTATTGGGTGTGTTCATTTAGAATAAAAAATTTGATGATGTTAAAAATTTCATTTGAATATCCCCTAATCTGTTCAAAAAAAATTATATTATAAATTTTTTTAATTATTCGACGGAACGCTTGCTGTTTAAATTTGCAAAGCATTTTTGAAGAAGGTGAAAAATTTTATCAGGCCGTAGCATTGGTATTTAATCACACCAAACACTTACGCACATGCACACACACACGCGCGCACAGGCACACACACACACGCAACACACACACACACACACACACACACACACACACACACACACATATATATATATATATATATATATATATATATATATATATATATATATACAGGGGCGAATCTAGGATTTTCTCAAGGGAGGGAGGATTTTCAAAAAATTTTGACGACCTTTTTTTCTTCTTTTTTAGGTCGACCAAATTGAGTTTCCGAGCTCTCCTAGAGCACTAAAAAGACGCTGTTCTGGCCAAATTTTCTGCGTCCTAGGCAATTAAAAAAAAAACGGTCAAAAAGCCGTTTTAGGGCACTTTTTGGAAAGTTTAGACAAAAAAAATTACGCTTTTTTTGGCTCGCGCAACCCCTCAAAGTTAGTATATATTGGAAAAATTTTAGGGTCAGTCGTAGAAATGGATTTCTTAAAAAGTACCGAAGGGAGGACCCTTTAGGTCGGCAGGGGGTCGAATCCCTGAAGGGAAAGTGAACGCCCCTCCCTCCCCCCTTACTAAATCCGCCCCTGTATATATATACTTTAAAACTTTGATATTTTTTGGACACAATTATTTGAATATACATATACAAATATAGTTAATTACTCAAATAATTGCATTCAAATGAAATCAAAATTTCAAAGATAAGGCGCTATTTATTGCATTTTCAGAAAAAGAGAAAAAAGCAGACAATTCAAAATCCGGCAAAATTTTTGGAGCGCACAAAGATTTCTTTTAACAAAAAACATGATGAGAATAAAACTAATGACCTTTATCTTTAAAGTCAAGTGCACATCCTCTAGGCTACATGAGTAAATAAGCGCCCTGCTTTTCATTTAATTTGAATCAATGTGCAAAAATGAATGAAGTGATTTGTTTAAATTTAGTTATTGGCCCAATAATTAAGACCATTTATCCACGGGGGAAAGGACCAACACAAGAGCTGTACAGCTCGTCACGACAAATCGCTGTTGTGCCACTGTTTAAGAACTACATGCAATTTTTTCGGTTATTTTTCTGGGCTGGGTAATGTTGCTTCACCCTCAAGCAACGAGCACGGAATAAACTCTGTATTCCGATTTGATAGCACATGCTATTATGGCTGTCCTGGTTTTCCTCCAAGTTTCTACGCTAATTGTTTCAGCTGGAACGATCAGTAAGGGAGAAGACAATACAACACTTTTGCGGCGTCGAAGCTTAGTTTTATTTAACCTTCGCGGCAAAACGATCCAGTAGCAAACAAAGAGCAACCTACAAGCGGCATTCACGAGAGCTGAATTAAAAGCGCTTGAAGCTATGAATTGTTTCAGATTGCAGCAAACGAACCGTATTAATTTCTGTATTTTGATTTTCTTTCTTGGCAAATTAGTTTATTTCTTATTGATGCCAGAAAAAATTACAGTAAAAAAATCATTTTGGGCAAGTGACTTGGTTATAAATGTCTTCTTTCCTTTAGCTGTTCTTGGAACCAATTTTGAAAAAAAACTTCAGTAATTTTGATCAATTGATTTTACGTCCCCACTCTTGCACGTCAGTACCCTTGTTTTGAATCTACAGATCAAACAAGGGAAGTAGCAGTTTACATCTTGTTCCAATTCGCTATTTGCTGATTCATAATATTTTTTTTATTTATGATTCTTTTGTTTTCAGGTAGATAAATGACCGACGAAAAGATCCATTCTGGGATATCATCTCAAGGAAATCACCATTGATACCCTTCATTGGCTTCCTTTGGTAAGCATTCTGGATGGCTGATTTTTAAACTTCAAAATTTTGTGGCGACGTTTCAGCAAATCTCGGATCAATTGGACGTCACCATGGCTGGGACTGTACAATTTTCATCTCAAATCAATTTTTAATCAGCCAACTTATTTTCTATAAATGCTCTTCATGCAGGGATTTGCTTGCTTTTTTTCTAAGCAAAACTTTTGCTTTCTGGTTGAATGGATAGCTTAGTTGACAACTTCTAGAATTTTTGCACAACAAAAGATAAGAATATTCTAAACTTGGCATGAAGACTTTGTCGCCACAAGTCGGACATTTTTTTTTGCAATATTTCAATTGGAGCAAAAGTAACAACTCCTCAAAAATTCAGAAACTGAAAAAGATCGGCATAAGTGTTTTTATTCTGCAAATATGTCCCTGTTCTCAAAGTTAAGTAACACTCATAAAAAACAGCTCTTGAGATTTCACGTGTTGTATAGTCATAACAAACAAGAAAATGCGGTTGTTGGTAAGGTATCACACAAACTATGGTCGACAGGATAATGCTTGGTTTTTGGCAGAGTTATGTAACTGATAAAACAGACCATGATTTTAGTTTAAGCCTTTTAGCAATAAAAAATGAATATCAAAAAACGAAGCCAATGAAAATTAAAAAACAAGACTGAATAAAGAAAAAAACAACACTTACTTTGGAATTTTGTTTTACACATTTTCAATATAAATTTTTCAATTTACTGCTGAATTTTGGGTAAGTAAAACTGAAACAAGGATGGAAGCCCATTGAAGATTAGTCTAATGGAAGGCATATTACTTTAATTTATTTTCTTTAGTTTCTTAAATTGATGATTCTGATTTGTGACGTATTATCTAAGAGCAAAAAATTGAAGCATATTTTGCCGATAATTGTAATTTTAAAAATCTATTTCTCATTGCAGCTTCAATCAATGTTGAAAGGATATCAGTTTAATACAGGATTTCATAGTTTCAATAAGTCTTACAAACTAATTTCCCATGGACAGAGCAATTGACTGAAGTTATGGTTTTCAAAGAAAAATACTAAATGTTTTCTCCATTTTATTGTTAATAAGTGAGCAAAAAGTATCCCGATGACATTAGTTTATGAGTAGTTTATTTCAAAATAAGAATACGGGTCCCATCAATAAATAATGGTCGACCGGATAATGCTTGATTTTTGGCAGAGTTGTGAAAGTGATAAAACAGACCATGAATTTAGTTTAAACCTTTTTGCGATAAAAAATCAATATAAAAAAAACGAAACCAACGAAGATTAAAAACCATAGAAAAATGAAGAAATTTACAATTTTAACACATTTTGAGCAATTAAAAAGTTTGATTTTTTAACATTTATACTTCCAACCGACCTGATTTATTCGAAAAAAGAATTGTAAATTTTTATGTTTAAACCGATGCAAAGTAAGTTCACTAGACCGACAAATATAAGCCGAAATCATTTAAGCCGAATTAAACTTCAAAGCCAAAGAAACGGAAAATATACAAGTAAGACATAGTAAATTTAAAAAACTAAAGGAGTTATTCAACACCATTTAAGACTACAGTGAAAACTGTTCACAGCGCAAAACATTGTCGAGCGGCAACTAAGCCGACTAAATAAGTCAATGAACAAAAGTCCGGTTATTCGAGTTTTACTGAAAAAAAATCAATTACATACGCTGAGACGCTGAAAAAACAAGCTCCGGTTGCGAACCAATACCCAGATGTAGGGTTGCAAAGTAAACTACATGCAAAGTGAGAAGGGGTCTAAGCTATTCTAAGAATCGATACTAGAGCATTCAATTTCAATTGCATTAATGTAAGAAAAGTTAACACGAAAAATGTTGATATCAAGTTCCCGATTACTAGAAATTTGCTCCAGCAAACTTTTGAAAAATTAACCAAACAAAGCATGGCTAATAGAGGTACATAACAAAAAAAGAAAATGAAGAAAATAGAAACCCACTGTTGTGTTTTTTACACAGGAGATATGAATATTTGAAATATAAAAACTGCCATCTTTTAGTTTTTGAAAAAATCAAAATAAATTAAATTTTTTTTTGCAAACTGTAGTCGGTTTAAAAAGATCAAAACGGGAAGCAACTGCTCATTATCCGACGCATAGTAGGCAGTAGAACAATTAGCAAGAAAAATTCGAAATAAAAAACAAATATTTTTGAAATAGACAATGCAATATCTTTTTTTACCGCTAATTATTCGTGACCTTGAAGAATAGGCTCGTTGCTCCTTGTTTTAACCGTTGCAAACTCATTCTATTATGGAGCAGAAAAATGTTCAATTTTTCCAAAAAAAACCGGCTGTTAATCATATTATTGCTTTTATGTAATTTAAATTACCAGACTACACTTTTTTCAGAAATCATCCTTTCAAATACTTTCGAAGTTACAAAATTTACGCGCACAATTCTGCATTTTAAAACCACGCAGAACAACAAATTTAAAAATGGTTCTTTCTGATAGAACAGAATCCATACATCATTGAAAAACATTCAGCTTGAGTTAAATCCTTGTCCAAAGCTGTAAGTCAACACGCTGAAACTTTTGAGTTCTGTAAAATCAAAATTTCTTTTTTGTTCAGGTAACCCAAGTTGAAAAAATTAGATCAAAAGAATTATCTCTATTCATTTGATTAATTAAAAAGTGTGAAAAAATTTTTTAAAACCCTTTTTTTAAAGTAACCCCAAGCGCTATAGTGATTACTGCTTAAACTAGGCCGTTTAGATACATAAAATGCCAATTTTTGGGTTTGAAAGCAATTAAAAAAACAGCCAGGAAGCGGGTCTTCGCAACAAATAGTATACAGCTAAAGAAGCCGACAAAAATTAGACAATCGCCGCATGCAATAAAAAAATTGTTTTTACCAAAACTCGCTCGATTTGTCTTGAAGGAAGTTCATTTTGAGGAAAAATTAAACGCAGGACAACTGCCAGTAGCAAAATAACATCAAAATGAATTTTTGCAGCGGTAACCAAGCAATAATACTCGGGCAGGAAAAAAGGTTTGCGAAACTCGAAATTTTGACTTCCCTTCAATATAGATTCACAGAAACTAATGCACTATGTGACCAAGCCAATAAAATATAAGCTGAAACCTTTCAAGCAGAACAAAACGAAAAAATATATAATAAAGAATATACTAAAAAAATATAAATTTCTAGAAAAAAGCACACGTCCAGCACAAATGATTCAGCTGTTAAAGTTAAACAAGTTTCCTGAAAATATTCTATGTTTCGACTTCAAAAGGCTAAAACCTGCTAATTGTAAGTGTTTTTACACAGGCGAAGCTGTGCTTCGCAAAAACTTGCTAGAAAACTAAAAATCTGAATTTGAATCAGCATTGGGCACGATATTGTTTAATTAACTCATCACCTTTGAACTAACATGTGCGTCTTAAGTGGCAAAAAATGCTGACTGAATTTACATCACCCTTGCAAGCCTAAATATAAACTAATTTGATAGAAATTTATCAAACTTATATTCTATTATCTTTTTGTTTGAGTTACCTTTGATTTATGGAGATCATCATTATTAAAATTAATACGCAACGTTTGCGCAACGAAAAGTGAAAAAAATATCGAAGAATATGTTGAACGCGAACATACTGAGAACGGTATAGAAAAATATGAATTTTCTAAAGGAACATCGACAGAAACTAGGAATATTTAAACGCATAAATTTCAGTTTTCAGTTCAAGTCAGGTTTCAACATGAATCAAGATGAAAGCATGGTCATTATCTTTTTGCTCACTTTTTTCACCTCGTGGCACTGATTCAAGTTCTCTCGTTAATATAATAATGCAATTTCATTTCGGTGACTTTGCCAGATGTCTTTTGTATTCGGGTCCCAAATTATTCATGTAGCTCTTAATGTAGTTTTTCGTTTTGGTCGCTATTTCTGTAGTCATCTTCAGCTTTTCAGGTCTCTTGGTTCTGCCACTTTCCTTCTGGACGATGAAATGAACCAACTAAAAAGACAAATTTATTCAATAATAGTCATCATAATAACTAGCATCGGATTGTGTTTCAGATTTTAAAAACAGAACAAAAATCAATTTTAAATTATCATTTAAATATTTTGATTTCATGACTAAATGATTTCGATTGGTTTCGTCACTATCACTCAAAAAATCACCAGATAGTAAATTGTAGCATTCGATGATTTTCAAGGAAACAAGATTTTAGTCATGTGGTACCAGTAAATGCAGGTGTTGGTCTTCTATTATTTTTGCGGTCTATTTGAGCAAAAAAATATATTATTCGAGGCTAACTTTTCGTGAACATTTTTTTAGCGAAGCACTTAACCATAAAAGGTCTTTATAATGATACATTGCAATTATTTGCAAAAATGCTTAATGACTTTTTGAAACTTCTTTTCGCACAGAACTTTTCAAAGTCTATGTTTTCTATGTTTTTGTCATAGAAAAAGTTGGTCAAGATTTTCTGGTCTGAAAAATTTGTTTCAGATTTTCTCGGCTCAAGAATTGCTCACGTGTTAATAAAGTATAACATCAAATGTAGTATAACAGCATATACTTCCTGATTAAAACTCATCTTTGACTGGATAAAAACCCTTAAAAACCCTGGATAAAAAATTCACACTTTGATTGATAGCTTTTCTCTGTAGTCATCTAAGGATAAATTAACTGGTGAAACACTTTTTTTCGTTTTTTTTTAAAGCGACGTAACTACTGCAGTAGCGATGAAAATAGCCTTACCGTAACCTACTGAGCATGCTCATTTTTTCCTTTTATATATCAGAGGGAAAGTCTTAAAACCTATTTTTGTGGCACGCCAACTCTAAGCTTGTTCATACGCGATATTTATTTACATACGCAAAATTTATTCAAAAACTGGGGTTTTCAATTTGTCAAGTAAATTTTAGATAGCCTATATATGTTCCCTCGAAATCTATATTTTCCTAAATTTGGTAGCAGAGTGTCATGGTTAAGAGTGAAAACACTGTTTACTCAAAGATTGATTAATAAATCGAAGAATTTGTTATCAGCACCCTTCAACAAGGAATTTACTGATAATTTGAATGCACCAGGAGAAAAGAATTATCAAAGCAAGACGTTGGAAACTCATCGATGAGCGCTGTACAGAGTTTTAAAATTTAGTTCGAAATTTAATCATGACCAACAGATACTTCAAAAAGTAAATGTTTTCGGAAGTTTCAGCTTGATTTATTTGTTCTAATACAGAACAAAAAGGATACAATAAAATAAACCATATAATCACTATTTTTTCAATTTTTTTTCGTTACTTTTCATTGTGAAATTGTTTTTAAAACCCATAGACAAATATGACTTTTGAAAAAAATTAACTACTTTTACTCAATTTTTTATTGTTTTAATTTCATTTAAGTCTTTTGATTTCATTTTCACATATTGTTTTAATTTCATTTGTCTTCTGACTTCAATTTTGACATAGTTTCAGTAGTATCAAAAAACAACATAGTGGCAAAAATAATACGAAAACGAGATTTTCCGGGTTTATTCAGAAATTTTTAGCGAGCCGGTTTGTCGAAAACTTATTTATGTGAGCTCGCAATAATTTCACCCACGGTTGCATATTCTGTTTTCAGCCATTTAAGTGCGCTTTTTGCGCGTTAGCATGCAAGTTCGGGTAAAAAATGTTGAATTAAAAACTATTTTGTTTTTTTTTCAAAGTTTTTAGAATTTCTGAAAGATTCATAAAACCGTCCATATCTTGTAAGTTACGAGCTTCTAGAAGCTTAAGTTTTGGCATTAGTATCGCAACCCGAAAACAGCAATCCCGTTAGTCTGCAGCAACGAGTTCAAACTTTTAAAAAATATATATAATTTAAAAGAGTAATCGATAAAATGTTTCTCTAAGTTTCAAGATAATCTGTCTAGAAACCTGGCCTAATGAACATCTCAAGTTGAATATTGTCAAGAATTGAAAAAAACTTCTAGAAAATTCATGCCTTTTGCCAAATACATAGATAAGATTATTGAAAACCATAATAGTTGTCCAGAATGTGGAACATCATAATAGTTATCCAAAACAGCTGTCCAGAATGTGGATTGGAAAACTCGTTTTTTTTTTTTAGAAAATTGGATATATTTCATGCCTTTTGGATAAATTTCATGCCTTTCGCTTAAACATTGTCCCGTATAAATTTCTATTGAAAAGAACTTCTAGAAAATCCATGCCTTTCACTCAACTATTGTCCAGAAAGAATTTGTCGTTGAGTTTAAATAATAGATACAAAGATAAATAAATAGTTAAGATTATTGAAAATCATACTAGTTGTCCAGAATATGGAACATTATAATAGTTATCCAAAACAGCTGTCCAGAATGTGGATTGGAAAACTTGTTTTTCAGAAAATGCATGCCTTTCGCTCAAACATTGTCCTGACGCCTCTTGTTAACCATTGTCCCCTATAAATTTCTATTGAAAAGAACTTCTAGAACATTCATGCCTTTCACTCAACTATTGTCCAGAAAAAATTTGTCGTTGAGTTTAAATAATAGATATATAGGTAAATAAATAGATAAGATTATTGAAAATCATACTAGTTGTCCAGAATGTGGAACATCATAATAGTTGTGGATTGGAAAACTTGTTTTTCAGAAAATGCATGCCTTTCGCTTAAACATTGTCCCCAACGCTTTTTGTTAACTATTGTCCCCTATAAAAACCGCCGAAACATTGCGTCTATTAAGTTTTAGGCGATGGGTTTAAGTTAAAAGTACCTAACGTACCTGCTAAAAACCTTGATATCATCATCAAACTATACGAGCTAAAAATCAGCAACTGATTTGAGAAAAATCGCCATGCTTTGCAGCTCTAGCGATTTAAGCAGACAGATACCCAAATCAAAACATAGCCAACTGACAAAAGAGTCAATGAACGCAAGCAAACAGTAAAAATACAGAGATGTTTTTTTTTGAAAAAATCTCAACTTTCGAATTTTGAAGAAAAAATAGAGGGCTTTAAAACTCTTGAAATTTATAGAACAATTTATGATTGACAATTTTGATAATATTAACCATTTGAGAAAACTGGATCAATTAGTAATTTTTTTAATCCGCTAGGTTATCTGAAAATTAAAATCCGATTTCAAACTAGAATTCGATCACGTTTTTCGTGACCTTTATTTTTTTTGCTGTTTGATGGCGGAGTTTGCCTTCCTTTAAAAGAAATCGATAGCCAAACCACTCAAATGAAAACGAAAAAAAGTCATCAGACCTACAAAAGAGTCTTCACTGCATTCATCGACTCTTGCACATCTGACAATTTTTTTGAATAATCGCTTGCGAATTAATTACATTGCTTCGAAATTATTATGCACCCCTACCTCGATTATTAAGAACAAATACTGACCTTTCTGGCTAGGAACTTGAAGTCGTCGGCTGAGCGGATTCTGCCAACCTTGCAGTCACTCCTAAGATGAGAGTTCAGAGTCTGCACCACTACCTTGGACACCTTTTCCATAAACTCTTCCTTGGCCTGCTTTGCGACACTACTCACAACTGCAGTTCCTGAGGACCTCTTTGCACTAGTTGAACTTCGGTGTCCAGCATTCGATAAGTTGCTTCTCGAATAAGAGGAATGGTGATGGTGCAACTTATGTCCAATATGTGATGATGTTTGAGGGCGATGATGTTGCAGAGGCTGGCTATTGTTAAATGCTGATTGGCGGTTTGCTGGAACGTTTGCTGACTCAAATGGTAGCGGAAGTCCAAGGACGCCTCTTGAGGGCTGGAACACACCAGGAAATCATTTAATTTCAAGAAAGCCTCAGATCAAGCTGTTCAGCGAGAGAGTATAGATATAAACCTTATTATAACAGAGAAGTAAAAAAAGACAGAATATTACCAGGTTATCAACAGAGTCACAGTAGTAAAATGGCCACATTGACAAAGATTTCATCAGCTAAATTAAAATACTTATTAATTACCACAACTAGCAATATCATCACATTTGATTTAACGAAAATCATATTTTTCATTTATCCGATCGCAAAGAAAATGGTAAAACGCGAACGAAAGGAAACATAAAAAAGACCTAATTTTCGAAAAACTCTTCAACTAAATTTCAAAGAAAGGAATATCAAATCAAGCTATTGATTAATACTTTTCTGATAAAATTAACCGAACTTTAGCAAAATGGATCTTACGGTATTTTTTTATTCCACAGGGAAGCCTAAAACCTAATATCCACTTTAGAAACTAGATGTCGATCACGTTTTTCGTGACCTTTCCATCTTTACTGTTCGAGAGCGGAGCTTGCCTATCTGTTCACTAAGAAAACTCTCTCAGCTTGAAGAAACCAAGTCAAACCATGAAATTTTTTAATTTTTCCAGAAAAAAAATAGAAATCATCACGACCTATCTAAGTGTCTTCACTATGTTCACTGCCACGAAGTTCAATCTTAACATCAGCTCAGCCCTTCATCCATTGAAATTTTATAGCACTTTGCACGAGGTCGTAGGCAAGAAAGTTCAAGAGAGTTTTCGGCATGTTGCTTTTAGGGAGCTCCTCAAATCCCTGGGATTACTTTGCGTTCCGACTTTTCATGATATTGCCGAAAAGTAAGTTTCAACTTTTCAATTTTTGACGGAATATAAGTTTCAACTATTATGTACAACTTTTCGACTTCTTTTTTCTCTGATATAGATCGATTGCCGGAGTTCAGATTTTTAAAAGTTCACCTAAAGGTATGTATCTATGTATGAATCTATGCGAGTATGAAAGTATTTATGTATGTATGTATGTATGTATGTATGTATGTATGTATGAATGTATGTATGCTCGTATGTATTATTTCTCAAATGGAATAACTCCCAAATGGCAAAAAAGTGAAAAATTTCCCATATGACTAAATTTTTGAGAGAACTGTTTTGTAAACAGTAGTGAATTTGTCAGTTCATTTATTGATTGACCATTAGTCTTGAAAAAATTTCAGAATTCTCATCAAAAGCAAAATCGAGCTGTTATTAGTTAGTTTTTGTGTGATTAATGTTCCAGCTAAAGAGTCGCTCAGCAGTTGGTTGGAAACGTCTAACTTGTTTAAAATGTTTTCGTTGATGATAAAAAGAAGAAAAAATAGTTTAAAAACGTTTTGATATTGAATGAAAAATTGAAAATTGTTTGTTACCTGTATGCATGTAGAAGCGTATGTATATATGTATGTATGTATGTATAAATGTATGTATGAATGTATGTTATGTTATGTATGTATGTATGTATGTATGTATGAAGGGGTGGATCTAGGATTTTCTCGAGAGGGGGCTGATGTTTGCATGCATGTACATAAATGTATGTATCGAAAGGTGAATATTTTCCCGAAAGTTTTTTACCTGTATGCATGTAGGTGCGTATGTATGTATGTATGTATGTATGTATGTATGTATATTTGTATGTATATATGTATGTAGGTATGTATATAGGTATGTATGTATGTATGTATGTATGTATGTATGTACGTACGTATGTATGAACGTAATTATGTATGCATGTGGGTATGTATGTATTTATGAAAGTATGTTAGTATGTATGTATGACGGTATGTCTTTAGTTATACGTTTAGTAATGTATGCAGGTGGGTATGCATGTAGGTATGTATGAATGAAAGCATGTATGTATGTATGCAGCGGTGGATCTAGGATTTTCTCGTGACGGCGCTGATGTTTGCATGCATGTACAAATATGTATAAATCGAAAGGTAAATATTTCCCCGATTTTAAAGCTACCAATACCGATTTTTTTAAGGCCGATGGCCGCATTGTTTCATCGACAATTTCTTGGGTCCAAAAGTGCTGCTCCCAAAACATCACAAAAATCTCAGTTCCCAAGCAAGCGTGTGGTACCATGTTTGTGTATGGCTTAATTTAAAATGCAGGGGTCTAACCAGGCTGAAACATGACAGGTTTTTACTGTCTCACCTGCACAGCGAATTACATCTTGCCACCTCCCACTAACAAATTCCGCAACTAATTCCCGACCTACTTCTATCTCTTCCTCAACTTCACTTCCCCCAGTAACTAACGCCCCTTGATTTTAAACACTGACACTACTACATTTCAGCTATCTGCGACAAACTCCCTAGTAACCAAGCCAATTCATTCTCACCATCAAATAGGTCCCTGATAATTCTGCAGCTAAACTGCGATGACATCTCTGGGAAAGCACCTAAATTAGCAGCTTTAATTTGCGAGTACCATATTCATATGGGTTTTTTTTTCCAAGAAACCGAACTAAATCCGAAAACCTGCACTCCCTCGTTTACTAAGCAAGGACCAACAGCGATAGCGAGGAGGTCTACAAACTGCAACTCTTCGCTACGATGAAAATGACAAGTTGAGACAGAACTCTGATGGAGGCGCAAAGTGTTTATGTAAAGGTCACCAGTCAGATTCTGCATATCACAAAATTTCATATCCCTCCCTATAGTAGCTATCCTAAGAACTATAAAGCAACCATTTCAACTCTACTTGCAGAATAGAATAGTCTTGAAAAAGCCTTGAATCCATTAGCAGTATTGTATAGATTATTGAACAGTATTGAAAAGATAAGCCTAATTCTTGTAATAAGCTTATTAAATAGTTTCAGAGACGTAAAATGGAAAACACTGACCTGACCAATGGAGTTCCAACAGAAGATTTGAGCATCCAAGAATCGAACAATGCTATTCCACAGCTACGATTTCAAGATCAGACGCCGATCACCAAATCTTCTTCAAAACGAATGTGTGTCTTTCAGCCCAGATTTGCAATCAGTATCTGAAGCGAACAAAAGCTTTGACGAGAGTATAGAATCGACTATAGAGAAAGTATTAGAGATGCAAATCCCAAAAATTGGAAACATCGCTATCAGTTATTTTCAAATCGTTAATCAACCATGGACTGCAGGATATAAAAGAGTCTGTGTTAAAGGAGACCATGGAAACAATAAAAATGGAGACGAGAAAATGTAATTTGAGAAATCAGAAGCAGAATTTCTAGGATATAATGGGCGGGACAATGTGGGGATAATTGGATAACCGGAAATGAAGAGCACAGGCGATAACGGACAAAGGAATTTCGTAGCATTGAAAAAGTCTTGAGTGTAGGTAGTGAAATGGGTGCGCTGGTTGAAAAATCAGATATCTCAATTGCTCATAGGTTACCTGGGAGAAACTCAAAAGCTCGGCCAATGATTGTGCGCTTCTGTAGGCGAATATCAAAAGAAGAACTTCTGCGAAACAAAAAATTTGAAACAAACTCAACCGATGAGCTCAGTCGAAGTTTTCGAAGACCTAACAACCACGCGACTCAAGTTTTTCAACCTTATGAAAGAAGACGGCAGATTCGAATCTATTTGGACAAGAGAAAGGAGTAGTTTTTTCAAATTCAAGCCTGACAATTCAACGCATTGTGTACGAGGACTCTATGAAGGAGGAAGGAAGCTGCAATACTCAATGAATCAAATAGAAAGCTGCTTCGTAAAGCAATAGCAAGCATTATCAAAACCATTCCTTGCCAAACCCTAATTCATTTTCAAAAGTTCCTAAAATGTACGATCGTTGCGTAAAAACCATGATGAACTGGAAGCACTTGCAAGTTCCCTTGAATCACCACCTAAAATTATTTTCCTAAACATGGTTACATGAATATGACGACAAACACAGCTGTAAAATAAAAGGTTATCATGAGGTAATTAGTAAGCCAAGAGCCAGTACTGGAGGAGAGGTGATGATGATACAATTGAAAGAAAATGTAACTTTCATCGAAGAACTACCATCGGAACTTTAACAGTTTTGGTTAGGATTCATCAAGAATTCTTCTTGATAATGTTGGTGTACAATCCTCCTAAAATTGACAAATTTTGCTTTCTAAAACAGTTTGAAAATGTTCTTGACATAATTTCTGCCAAAATTATCGGGTTCTAATGTGCGGTGATTTCATTATTGATAACCTAAAAACTAACAACCTCTCTTCAAAGTATATTGATTCTATAGAAGGCAACGACTTCGATCAGGTCAATTAACAACCAACTCGAATAGGAAATACATTTGATACTCTTCTGGACCACATGATAAAGAAAGATGTTTTTGTAAAAAATGCTTATACGCTTGAAGATCAATCCTTCTCTGACCACTTGCCCCTTATCCTAGAGCTGATAACCACAACCTCGCGAATGCAATCTATCTGCAAATTCTTAACGTGATACAGGATTTTTTTAAAATCTAACACTCGAATCGAAAACTTAAATTTCGCTTTAATTCAAGAGTTGCAGAAAATTAAATCGTTCGAAAACACATCCTCAGTTAATGACTTGTTTGAAGATTTCCAATCGAGATACGATGATATTTTAAATAGATATGCGCCGCTTAGAACATCAAAAACCAAGAAACGAAATGTTGACTGCTCCTGGTTAAGTAATCATATAAAAAACTTAATATCCAAGCGTAACAGACTTCATAAAGCTTGGTCAAAAAACAAAAATAATGTTAGAGCAAGATTTCGTTTTGAATCTGTCAGGAGACAAGTTGAAATTGAAAATAAAAAACTTAAAATAAAGTTTCACTATAATAAATTCAAAAATTGTATTGGTGACTCAAGGAAAGCATACAAACTACTAAATGATTTAAAGGGTATAACAAATACATTAACTAGAACAATAGTTTCGGTAAATGGAAGTAGTGGCGACATTGTTAGCGAAAAACCAGCCATAGCAATTGAGTTCAATTACTTTTTTCTTCTATTGGCAGTCATTTAGCTAATCAAATATCTAAATTAAGAATCCGATCAACTTTATTCTGAGCCTCGTTTTTGCATGCGTTTAAATTCAATCACTGAATATGAAATTTAAGTCATTCCTTCAGCGCTACAAAACAAATTATCTTCTGGAATAGATGGAATTATTAATCTAATTGCTAAAGCTAGTTCATTCGCAATTGTTCCTTCATTCAACTATTCTTTAAATCAGGATGTTTTCCTACCGCTCTGGCTCAAGCGGTAGTATATCCTTTATATAAAGCAGGATCGGAATTGGATGTCAGCAACTATCGACCAAAATCAGTTCTTGTAACCTGGAGTAAGGTATTTGAACGAGCAATGTACATTCGAGTGTACAGCTATCTTGAGAGAAACTCACTAATTTACATCAACCAATTTTGTTTCCGAAAAACCACAGTACTATTGATGCTATTGCTGAAGTAACAGAGAAATATTGCTTAGACAAAAAAACTAAATCACCCAAGAGAACAGTTTTTCTTGATTTAAAAAAAGCTTTTGACACAATGGATCACGAGATAAGTTGGAAAGGTATGGGGTATAGTGTCAGTGGAAAACGTTTACTTTGGTTTAAAAGTTACTTGAAGTACCGCAAACAAGTTGTCCAAATTGGTGAAACGCGATCAACGTGGCGAAATCTGGAATGTGGTTACCCACAGGGATCCATTTTGGGGCCTCTGCTTTTTCTTATATATAACGACCTTCCAAGAGTCTGTAAACTTAGCGAAAGTTTTTCTTTTTTCGGAAGACACAAACATCAATGGACTAAATTGCTCGGTTGAGAGCTTCAATCAAGGCTTCAAAGCTATATATAAGTGGTTAACTTTGAAAAAAACATCTAAATATGGACAAAACGGTACAAATTAGTGTATCTCTTAACAGTGCTTCCAACCAGCAATTGTTTATTCATAACATACCTTTGAAAATTGAGGAGTCATGCAAAAATCTTGGTGTTTGTAGATTCTAAATTTAAATATAATTCTCACACTAATTTCATACAATTTAAGCTTAGAAAACAATGTGGCATTGTTTCCAAAATGCGTCAAAATGTTCCCAAAACTGTTATTATTGATTATTATGGCTCTAATATTAAGCTCATTTTACAATATGGAATGTTTGTGTATGGTCACACTTCCTACACAAACCTTTTACCCTTTTTTTATCCAAAAGAAAATTATTCAATGTATTTTTTTCAAAAGAAAATATGAAAACATTCGACAAGTTTATAATGATAAAATTTTTTAAACAGTTCACGAGCTGCATGTGTATGAACTCCTCAAATTTGTTTGGCGATCAATAGCAGGACTACACTCTGAAACTTTTTCAAATGAGCTTTTTGTCTTTGATAAACCGTCGTATGTGACCAGAAGGTCAACTTATATTCTAATGAAAATTCCTTATTTCAAAAGCAAAATTCAAAAAGTTCAATTAGTTACAGAGGAGCTAAGTTTTTTAAAATACTTAGACAAAATTTCCTAATTCCAATAATTTTTGATCAGGTTTCCAACTCAGATATTCAAAACATTGCCCACGAAATTCGCGATCTGTTTACATTAAGAAATGAAGAGCTAATCAGATTTGTTTTTTGTTGACATTTTTTTGGATGCAAGGATAAGGCCGGAGAATGAAATATGTGGAGTGCCTGTATGTTTCAAATTTTTTTCTAATAAAATTGTAAATTGTTTTCAATGCGTCTTCGGCGTTTTGAAAACCACACTTGGGCTTGTTCGCTGGTTACTGCCGCATGGGCTCAGTTAGGTGTCTACTGAACGTTTAGCCCCCAATCAATTCTACTGATGATAGAGAGGCTTCAAAGGATAGGACACAGTTAGTAGACGCAGTAACCGTAAAGTGAACAATTTCAATATTTTGTTTTTGAAACCGAATGGGGGTGCATACGACTTGCGAGTTTCAAAAATTATGAGTGATGAATTAAAACTACTTTTATTATTTAATTTGGTTTTATACCGACTACGATTGAACATTAACCTGTCTAGACAATGCCATAAATCTGCTGCTTTATGTTTATTCAAACTTCAGTATTTTTTTTCTCCAAAATTTTCTTTCTTGTTTTTAGATTTATATAATTTTCCTTTTCTTTGAAGATCTCAAATTTCGTATTTCATTTGATAAAACAGGCAGTGCTCTGTAACCCAATTGGGTTCGTTAACTGTCCCATCACTGTTTCTGGTGCTTCATGTTTAAATTCTCGATATATGCATATTTACCATTAACAATGAGAAATAAATTCTTTCATTGAACAAGGCGATGCAGATACTCATTCCCCACTTCGGTGCTCTGAAATACCGGACACGCGGGTCCAAACTAGGCGCCGAAAAATTTCAATCCTCACTAAATAATCACTACCAAAGTCAACTGCTATATAATAGAAGTTCTTCGACATCATCACCTGATATATCACTCGCTTCTTCCCAATTTTACTTGATCTTGCTTAGCGAAAATTTTTGAATCGGATTTCGATCACATACCAGATGTAAATGCCACTGAGCGAGTTTTTCGTGATACTGTTTACTCTGCATCCCGTCATACTCATGCAGCCCGTCATCGTGTCTTTATAGCTGCACTAAATGACGAAACAAAGAAACCAACAAAACAAAGGGAGAGCAACAGATTAACCAATCCGTCAGACCAACTTTTAAACGATTTCAAAACGACTAAAGAGAAAGAAAAAATAGCGGGAATTACTCCAGACTTTCAGTAATCATACTTCATGTATTGGGTTCTGGAAAGTGATCGATCGTTAAATGGCTCTAAGTATGTGGTAGGAACTCATCCAATCACTTTTAATGACAAATAGACTTAAGGCAAAAGAAACTACAAAAATTTTAATGCACAACACACTTTTAATGTATCATTTCAAGCCCACCTATGAAAATTTTAGAATCTTTATCTCACCAAACCCTAATTAAACACCTACACAAAGCTGACCATTAAAAAGGCTTTCGACCGATGCACTCTCAGTCCTCGAAACTTTTTTCATCATAGACGGTTTTAGACAACAAAGGTCACCCACTAGATTAGTTTCGACAAAGCTTGACTATCTGAAGCTTTCGACATGGTCTGTCATCGAACTCTTTTGGATCTCCTTCATGACACCAGCGTACCGGGAAGCTTAATTACGTGGTGATCAAAACTTTTGAGGGGTCGCCAAGCGAAGACTTTTTAGGGATGCTCTGTCAACATCTAAGATTATTGGCACAGGTGTCTCACAAGGCTGTTTTATCACCTTCTTTCTTCAATTCTTACGTTCACGAGAGCCATTATCACCTCACAAAAAATTTACAATCGCACGCAGACGACTTCCCTGACTTCGTTTAGTGGAGCAAACTTCAAAAAACTTCCTGTTTTCTCAAATTAATTTCATGAACTTACGTCCAGATCTCTTTATGCTTTCCTCATCAAAAAACTCCGCCAGCCTTTTTCCTTGCTCAACGAGGAGTTCAATACTGACCTCCTAGTGAAAATGGATTTTACCGCCCTTCCTTTAGAAAAGCAACTCAAAATACTCGGTGTCTTCCTTGGCTCATCCCTTAACTTCGCAGAACCCTGCAACCTTGCGCATAATAGCAATTTTTAGGGCATTTTCGGGGACATATTGGGATCAATTTAATATACGCTACTGGTAACCTGCAAAGCTTTGGTCAGACCAATTTTAATCAGAAAGCGAAACATAAACTGTTGCTCACCATCATCAATTATCAACCAGTTCACGCTGAAAACATAAATATCATAAAGCACCTTACTTTATAATTAACATCACCCCAAACCTCACCGGGATATCCGCCCGACAATACTTGAGATTTAGGTTCACGGAATAGAAAATATCCTCCCAGACAAAGCAATTGCATCTTTTACCACTTTAAACAACTTTAACAAACATGGTTTGTCGCTTATCAAAAATTTAAATAAAAAACGATTTTAAAACAACTACCCACTCTAAGTGTCAAGCAGGCTATTGCAGATGCACCTCCCCCAAAAGTACTGCCCCTCAAACCCCCCGGTATCTCCTAATCTGAAATCCTTCCCTCGCGGCACCAGGCAAACCCTCTTTAAAAATCCTTCCCTCGCGGCACCAGGCAAACCCCATGAAGCTCCGGTTATAGTAAAGATTTACTTGATCAGAATGGACCCAAACGTCCCTCCCAACTGCCCCATTGTACTTTTCGATACACACCACTTCACACTTTTTTGTTATAAGAACACCCCTACTCTAGCACCAATTTACATGTGGCTTCCGCCGAATGAAGTAGCAAAGTTTCTAGGACTTGGTTAGAGCATACCGGACGCGCCCCCTGTGAGCTTAACAACAACAACAAAAACATCGACAAGTTCCAACCAGAAAAACGTTCCTCACTCTTCCGCAAAACAAAACTTTAAGAAACTTCAGACGCTTTTCGTTATTTAGGGTAGTGTTACGTCAATTAGGGCAGGCGCTTAGTGGGTGTATATAACCCGTTGGCTAACTTCGCTCAAATTAAAAAGAATTATAAACTTATATTCCAATTATGTTGTGAAAATGAGAATAATTAAGTTTCGTATACTATATGCAATCAAAATAAATTCTTTTTATTCTGCTTTTTGATTTTATATTATCTACTCTTTAATGCACTACTTAATTATTAGCTGCTTCCCCCCCCCCTCCTGGCAGCACACATCGATCGCTTACTTTATAGACCCCCGGCACAACTCCCTTTCCCCTAACCCGGCGAGTAGGTTATTTTGAACTGATTAAACAGGTAGAACTATTTTCATCACTTACAGTGCTGTGGTTAATTGGTGCGCTTAAGGCACTACCGCCTGCTTGTGACATTGCGACTCCCAACGAGTCAGCTACTGATGTTCCTCCTTGAACACTTGATGAAGAGGGATTTGAGAAAGGTTCTGGAGGTGTGTGAATCGAATGCGAGTTAAACAACTCTACATTGAAGCTATCCTCGTGGCTTTGGATAGTGTTGTTGTAATGACTGGCAACAACTGAATCCATGCTGTCAAAAACAGTGTCTGGGATATCGTATAAAGTGACACTGTCGTCTTTGTGCGTTTCCATTTTGCTGTCACTCGGCTCATTCTCCTCGTCGCTGTCCTCGTCATCACTTGAACTGCTGAAATCTTCCAGTCCAGATGCCAGTGGGAAATGCCACTGTGTCTGTCGTGTCTCAACGTGATAGTAATACGTGTTACCGTTTGAAGGATCAATAGCCGAGCGCCAATTCTTCGGAAGTCGCTGAGGTGGTTTCGGCTGCTCATTTTGGACAAGTGGCGCTGCTTCTATAGATTGCATAACACCTCCTGCTGCATGTAGCGTGACATGTTGAGGTAATCCAGCAACAAGGACGCTCTGTTGCTCCTGGAACTGAATAGTTGCTGCACCATCATCAGCTATATTAGCACCATCATTCTGCATAATGTGACAGTGACTTCCTTCTAAATCCATGTTCTGACTCGATGAACTGACGTTCAGACTACTCACTGAATCATGAGAAGCAGCTTTGAGTAGTATTTGGTTTCCATCAGGAACAGAAGCACTAGTAAGAAGCATCGTAGGGGCTGAATTTTGAGCGGCCAGTCCCGTATTAACACCCGGCGGGTTTTGAGTCCCAGATGTTTCCATGCCCTGCATAGGTGCCGGCGCTAAGGCGGCAAACGGGATCGAAACCTGTTGTGGAACCAGGCCATCCGTTGTTCGGATGAAGATTACTTGACCTGGTTGTAGCACTAATGGAGTAGGAGCGGCTGCTGTTAGCATAGATACACTTGAACTTTCAGCAGACGAGCTCACAGAAGCTTCTATTTGATCGCAAGTTTTTTCTATTTCTGCCGCCGCCTCAGTCGTCGCGGATTCCTTGATGTCTAATTGATTACTTGTATTATTTTCTGCTATCTCAATCTCAGCTTCTAACTTAGTTTCAGATTTATCAATTTCTGCTACAGCGTTGAGAGGTTCTTTCGACTCCATTTCAACTTCCCTCGTCTGTTCTTTTTCAATTTCCATGGGTCGAGGATATTCCGAACTTCCGTTTTCTTCTTCTACAGACATATTTTTGCTACTTTCATTTGGTTCACTGAATGACATAGTCTTAATAGGCGACATTATTTCCCCACTTTCAACGGAGTCATTTAATGCAGCTTCTGGTATAGCAGATACATTCACAGCTCCATCATCTTTGACAACATCACCCATATTGGGTGTTCCTTGGCTAGAAACACTGAGAGTGGCGTTCAACATTTGAGTAGATTGCACATTTGATTCTGCCAAATCACTGGACGACTTCCGTCTATCGGGTTTCGAATCACATGGCGTTGTTACTGATGACTCGTTGCAGGTCTCTGTCAAAGACTTTCTAAACAAAATTTTTTGTTAGTTACAGTGCTTAAAAATGGATAATGCTAGGTTTGGCATCGATACATCATCCTTAGATTTGCAAAAATAAGAAATAGAACCAAAAAACTGTCTGAAATTTCAAAATTAGAAATTGAAACAGCCAGTTGGAATATTGTTAATGGATGGACATAATGAACCCAAAAAAAATGCGCAGTTCAAAAAAATCAATTCAGGAGCTTCAAAGAGAAAAAATTAGACCACGTAAAAGCTTTTGAAATTCAAAAATATTGTATGGTTCACAATTTCACATTATTCTAAAAATAAAACTGACCCAAATTAAAACACGCGCTGCTAGAAAACGACAAAAATCAGCTTAAAAAAATAGAAAAAATGGAAATAGGCTTTGAATTATTAAACCTTTTGATGAGTCAGACTCCAACCCGAGGGTTTGAGTCTAAAACCCTCGCAAAGGCCCCACGGGCCATTGAAACTTCAGTAGCATCAGCAACGAATAGATCAGCCACAGATGCTAATAAATTGCTAATGCTATGCAGCAAAAATGCAACCTAATATAAATAAAACTAATGCTAAGTGCGCATCTGACTTCCGTTTTGTCGAATTGGAGGCTCTCGTCCTTCCATGTGTCACGATCGCTTGAAAATTGTCCAGAACTAGCCACCAATCAAGCAGAAAACATTACCTATGAACTTTTCAACGCTACAGCATAATTGCCACCAAATGAGCACAAGCTAGCTAGGTTGGAAAAAAATAGTCAAACTAAGGCTACAGCAAAATTGCCACCAAATGAGCACAAGCTAGTTAGGTTGGAAAAAAGTAGGGTCATACTAATACAATATACTCGCTAGCTCGCATGTATAAAAATTGAATAATTAGTTAATGCTAAAATTCTGAAAACGCGCATTTGTCGAATTCCACAGTTCATCACGTGTTTCGGGCCATTTCCACTTTTCTATCCATTTTGCCTTTTTATTCAAGGTACCAAATAAGTCGCCTTCAAGTTAGCATTTAAGACTCTTACTAAAAAAAAACAAGCAAAAAAAGACACCATAAAAAAATTCAAAAAGCCCCTTTTTTGCTCATCAATATATAAAAACACAATTTTTCAAAATTATTTTGAAATGGTGACTTTTGACGGAACATTCTGTTCAACTTGCAGATCAGTCTATTAATATTATTTTAGATAAAACTGTAGGCCTGCTGGTACAGAGGATGATAGAAAGATGTTGAAAAGGAGGATGATAGAAACAGTTGGATCAAAATTAAAGACGGTAAAGACGGAAAGAAAACGAAGATTCAATAACTCAATGAAACAGAAAAAAACTCAGTTTGCAAATTTCAAAATAAAAAAATATATGGCATTACAGCTATGTGAATTTAAAGAGCAATTTATGATTGGCACTTTTTTGATAAAATTAACTCAGTCTCAGAAAACTGGATCAATTTTAAGACTTTTTCATCGAAAAAAAAGCATCACGACCTATATAAGATTCTTCAGTACATTCTCTTAAAACTAAAACTACTAACATTCTTCTGCGTTTACTAGAAAAGTTGCCGTCAGATGCAACTGGTTCATCGGTCGACAATAACCTTGGACGTTTTCTTTCTGGTTTTCCCAACTCGATCCCAGTAACGTCCTCAAGTTTTTCATTACCGTCTGCCTTGCTTTCCTCGTGCTTTTCCTTGATTTCTTGCACCTTTTTCATATTATTAATGGAGCTTATTAAATGCTTCCAATCATTTAGAAATTCTTTAGTCGAACTCAAAATGGAACAAAGAACAGACACAGCGGTCCTCGAATTGAAATCAACTTGATTCATATCATCACGTTTGCTCCACGAAATTTGACTGTAAGTCAGGTATGACAGATCTTCTGCCAACGAGGTAAGCACCGAAACAATTCCACTTCGCTTAGTTACTATTTCAGACTCAAGGGGCAGCTTTGAAAGCAGTCGCAAGCAAGACGTCAAAAGTTGCAGTGCATTTATTTCGTCGTCTCTTAGACGTCTATTTGCTCCTTGTCCCAAAATCACCGCTTCTTTGACTAGCTTGCTCTTCCAAATGTGTGATACTAGGTAGCTGAGAATGGACACTCCGTGATACTTGACAAACAGGGCTAAAACTTCCATGGGTTTATCAAACGAGAGAAGGTTCAGCAACTGACACTTCACGTCATATGCTTCGTCGTGCAGTAGCAGCCTGGACATTTTTTGCAACTTGCGCTGCTTTGAAGTTGTCACTTTTCCTGGGTTGTTCAGGTCGATGAAATCCATCAGCTAAAAAACAGATAATTGTAATCAGTAAGTCTATTAATGATCATCATAGATCTTGCAAATGTTAAAATATCGCAAAATCCCCTGGAACAACAAAAACCGCTTATAAGTTTAAACAGCGAAGGGTTAATCAAATCGATGAAATCCATGAGCTAAAAAGCCACAAACAGATTAAGAAATCTGTTAATATGTTTATTAATCGTCATCGTCCATGAATGTGGCCAACGCGAAAATATCACAAAAAAATCCCCATGAACAAGGAAACGCCCTTAAAACTCCGAAGCATTGATATATACGAGATTTTGAATCGATGTTATGGCAGAAAATATAAAACTGGTGCCTGAAAATTGATCAAGATACAGACTCGGCAAGGCAGCGGAAGTAAACCATGACACTTACTTTGTTCTGAATGTACATTTCATTGTCCTGTTTGGTCCTGCTGTTCAGACTGGCAGACTGGATGATGCCTCTGCACCTGGAGGCCGTCTTGCACTCACAGAAGCAACTCATCGCTCTTCTGGAATACAGCTGGGCATTGCAGTCCACTGTCACTTCCTCTCCCGGCGACAGACTGCGAGAGGCAACCACTCCCAGACGCCATTTGCCTCCTACAAGCCACTGAAATAATTTCAGTTGATTCACAATTCGAATATCTACACAAGTTTCTACACAGAGGCGAAGCGGAGTTTTGTAACACTTGCGATCCAAAAAACACATTGCGCTACATGATGGAAGAAAAAACTGTCAAAAATTCTGAAAATTGAAAAAATTACTCGAAAAAATAATTTGATAGGTCGAAAAAACAGAGCTATAAAAACTTCATGGTTGTATAGGATGAAGTTCATAATCAGTCTTAAAATGAAGTGAAAATCATTTACTGAGCATCAACATTGTTTGAGCCGCTCAACCAGTTGAGCAAACGCTCAACCAGCCAGGGCTGGGGAAAAACGTTTTTTTATTGAAAAAATTCAAATAAACAGCGTTTTTTTATTAAAAAAAACAAGTTTTATTGTTTTTTTTTTACAGTTTGTTCAGTTCTATCTTCTTCCCTCATACCGATGATCTAAAACATATGCGGCAAGAAAAACGAGAGTCAGATAATCATCTCTTCTTTTTGCTACAAAAAGTTTCAGATGATCCAGTGCAGCATTGTAGAGATCGAGCCGGCTCAATAAGGGACGGCGGCTCATACCCCTATCGCAGCGGTTCGACTCCCAGGCAATGCTAGTTTTTTGCGATAAAAGTTTTAAAATACAAAACACTGTTTTTTATTTACTGTTTTAATACCTGTTTTTTCTGCCTTATTTTAAAACATTACCAACCCTGCAACCAGCACCAAAAAACTGGAAATTAGAGCAACATTTTTTCAAAAACCATTTGTATAAAATTTTCTCTTTCCAAACAAAAAATATTTCGCGCATAAAAACAAAAACCCATAAATTGTATCAACGCTCTTCTAAATTGAATCGAAAAAGATTCTAAAAAAACTCCAAAAATGTTACTAAAATAAAACATCCGGCAAATAAGCCAACGAAAATTGTGACGAAATCCAAAAAACCTACAAAAAATATTTAAATCTGAAAACTTTTCCAGCTTTAGAACCAAAACTACTTAAAACAAAAAATTACAAAAAACCCGCTTGAAGTTAACTGACACGGATTTTAAAAATGCTACACTAGAACAGTCGCGCAGAAAAATCACCAACTTTTTGCAGTTCGCAATTCGGCTGGCAGCTGTGGTTCACGAATCTCGACTCATTTCCCTTCTTTGTCGCGTCAATCGCAGTGGTGTCCGATAGCTTCATAGTATAGTAATTCTTCAAACCCTCCCTTTTATAGTCTTTCATCCTGTTGGGTATCTCTGTCTTTTTTATCACTTCGCCTACGTATTCGATGATCACAGTTCCCGAAACTACAGCTTCACAAGTCCTCAAACCATGCCCAGTTTTACCCGTTTTGAAAATTTCAACTTTCGGAAACTTAGCTGATCTGAATTGATTGTTAGAACAACGGGACACAATAGAGCAGTTAGAATCGCATTCGATTTGCAAAGATTGGTTGACACAATTCGGAGGCTTGCAGGAAGATTTGGGGTCATTCTCTTCACAATCGCATGTAAACGAACTGCAATCAATTAGATCAGGTCTAAAAAGAAACACTGACATAAATCAAACACTCTTACCATTTCCTTACTAAAAAAACTTCCAAAAAAGACACACATCACAATTTGTATTGAAGCGTTTAGTCGGCATATTCCAAAACCACTTACTCGAAAGTGAAACAATTTTCTGAGATGTGTTCGTAATTGAATTGTTTTGGACTGCACTGAATCACTGCTGGGATATTCTGCTGGTTCGACTTTGCTTCGTCTATCGACAAATTGTCAGTGACACTCATTTCTAAAGAAAAATAACTTAAACAGAAAACACTATGAAATGCTGATTATCGATTCTAAATTAATTAGAAGAATTTAGTGTTCTGACCATTGAAAATGGAGAGGAATTTTGTATTCGAGTGTTTTTTTTTGTTTTCCACGCAAAATCACGTACCACAAATAATCATCGGAATATGTCGAGTGATAGATCATATAAAAGCCCTTTCAGTCGTGATTCGAAAGAAGCCCGTTTGAAAAAACCCATTTGAAAATTGAGTTTTGGTCTAATTTCGAGCAAATAAGGTGAGCGAGCAGGCTTTAAAAAGCTTATTTATGCTTAATTTCAAACGTGAAAACTTGATTTTACTGCGGTAAAATTAGTTTTAGAAGTTTTTTGGCACCATTTTGATTTTTTTTTTTTCGTTTTTCTACTCATTTTTCTTGAAAAACTTTTTTCCAATTTGCCTATTTTATTATGACTGTCGAATATGCCTAAAATCTAGAAAAACCTAGATTACTTTAATTTCAGAAGATGACAATTCTTTTAGGAAAACTTTCTTTTTAATGTCTTTCGAATCACCACTCAAAAAGCTTTGACAAAATATATCAGTCAACCCATTCTAGCAATAATTTGAGGCATCTGTCTTTGTGTTTAACAAAGGAAATTATCTGAACTTAGAAAGAAATCAACAGACAACCGCAAAAAAATGAATTTGAGACTAAACAATTTTCAGGACTTTCATTTAAAAAAAGAAAACATCACGACCTATCCTTTATAAGAGTCTGAACTACGTTCATCGACTCTCAAATACTTGTTTATTTTCTTTTTTGAGAATTTTTTTTGCATTTTTGTAAATTCTACACAGAGGCTATTTTTAACCCAGTTACTGCAAAATCAACCATTTTGTAGTTGATTTTGATAGTGGGAGCCAAAAAATTACAAAAACAATTTAAAAAAAGCTATTTTACTTTCTTTTTATATTGAAAATTTTTTGTGATATCATTAGTGAACTAGGAGAAAACCTTAAAGGGGAAGTCATTTGTAAGTGAAATTGTGTGAATCATTTGTGAATGAGCGGAAAAATTGTTTTTAAACGCTTTTTTTTGGCAGATAATATCATTTGGCAAAATTTCTTGGAGCTCCCTTGATCAAACAGATTTTCAATCATTGTAAAAACCATCAGAACATAGCAAATGTTGTCATTGTCAGCAAAGATTAGTTAAACCGAAAAACAATGATCATTTATCTCAAGAATCTTTTATGATTGACTTCCTGGTCATAAAAGTAATCCAATTAGAGAAAAATTTGTCAATGGGTAATTGTTCTATTCCGCTGGCAGAATTTAAAATTCGAAAATGAAGTCATTCACATCTTTTCGGGCCATTTGCAGTTTGTAATTAGAGATATTTTGCCTTCCTTTTGGCCAATGAATTTAAATTAAGCATAAATCGAAACAATCAAAAATCTAACTGCGAAAAATCAAATTTGAGCATGATCAACCTATAAGACCTTTCTGAAAAACTATAAACAATACGAGCCAAATACTTGCTTTTACTTCGTTCATTGATATTTAATCATAAAAAAACGCCGTTCGTGACTACTAAAACGACAACAAAAAAGCAGACAAACAATAGTTCAACAATAAACTTTCACAGCCTTATTGTCTGATTTGATAACGCTTTCTTATCACCTGGGTGAATATATTTTGCTAAATTAAAACTACGGACAAACCTTATGAACTTACGTTTAGTAGGTTTAACAGAGACTTGGATTTCTTGTCTAGGCCCATCGCGAGTATGTTGACACTCATTTAGTGCTTTCCACTGTCCAGTTCTGAACCTAAGAACAAAAGTAATGATGAAAGTTTCAAAGTTGCTCTTTTTATGCTGCCATCATATTGCACTTGAGCATCAATTTGTTCAAATTTAGCCTTCAAATTATTGGTTTCCAGTCAAAAATCTTGATCAAAACCACCCAATGGTTGGTTTTTCACAAAAATCTTAGTGCCCGCCAAAGTTTGGCAAAACTTAGCGACATCTACGTTTATCTCTACGCTGTTCATTCATATCTTAAACTACAAGGGTTGACATTAAATTGATTGTCATTGTAGGTGTATGTGTAAACTACCACAATGATTCAGCATCGCTACACAAACCTATGATTATCTGAATTTTGAGCTGGGCGGTGAGACTGGATAGGCATCGTGCCTAGCGCAATGGACGCGTTTGAAGATGAGTTTGGCAGTGGGAAAATCATTTCACTCGAAATAGGCTGCGAAACTGGGATGGGAATTGGTGGTGGCGGCAACTGAGCTTGACCATTGATACCGCGGGGACCTAAAACCGATCAATTCCTTGCAACTCTACAATAGCCAGCATACAATTGTAGAAACATTAATTAATTTAAAAAACATATCACAAAAATAGCATCGCGAGCTAGCCGAGAAAAAAATAAGCCGCAACTCGAAAAATATATTTAAAAAAAAACTATCGACAATAAAAATGTTTAAAAAACTACATCTACCAAAATTTTCATAGCCCTCGCAAGTGTGATACTGAGAGACAAAGCGGAGCTTCCCAACTCTTGCGATCAATTAAACATTGTACAAGAAAATATTGAGCAGAAAAAAAACAATGCTTCATTTAAAAGATTAAGCTCAAAAAATTACTTGAAATTCGAAAAAATTTATCGACGAAAATTTTATACCCTTGTCTCGGATGAGGCTCATAAACAGCTTTAGCAAGCATTGCGAATCAGTAACCGAGCGGCAAAAAAGGCGCAAAAAGTTGGGTCGACCCTCGTTAAGCCGAAAACTAAACTGTAGTCATAAAAACGGCCCAATTTTTACGGCTCATCCCTCCTGAACAAGCAAAAGCATTTAAAAGTTCGCTCCTGAAATTAGGCAACACAGGTTGACTAGACTGATATAACAACTGATTAAAACAAGAAATTAGGACAAAAACAACAAGTCCAAAAAAAAAACATTTTTTCAATAAATATATTTGAAAAAATTATTAACATCCTCATAAGAACTAAGAGATAGTTTTACTTGAATGTTCAAGACATTGAGCATGTCAACATTCAACATGCCAGCAGAAATTGTAAAATATAGGTTGTTCACGGGAAAAAGTTTAGTCCCCAATTGAAGTGTCACTAGCTCTCGCAAGTGAAAATATAGCCAACTGACAAAGAGAAATGAACGCACGGAAAAACAAACAAAAAAAACAGATTTGTTTTTAGAAAAATCTTCAATTTGCGTGTTTTGAAGAAAAAAATAAGCCCTTAAAGTTCTTTGAATTACACGAACAACTTTTGTGTTTGACCCATTTTTGATAAAGCCCTATTTGAGAAAACTGGATCAATAGGTAAAATTTTTATTTCGCTGGGTAATCTGATAATTAAATTCCATTTTCGAAATAAGAGGTTGATCACTTTTTTCGTGACCTTTGCACAATTAACTTTCGATAGTGGAGTTTGCCTTCCTTTTTAAAAGGAGCCAAACCGCGAAAAACAATAAAAATGGACCGTGAGCAACTTTTTTTTTCTGAAAAAAAAATTACCAAGACCTATTTAAGAGTCCTATATAAGTTTATTACTCTTAAAAACATCAAATTAAACTTTTAATTATTCGGTCGAGATTTGTGAAATAGCAACCAAAAATGATGTGTCAAACTTGTAAAGCAAGCTTGATAAAAACCAAAACCAGCAATTACTATTTTTAGCTCCCATACATACCTGGAAAAAAGTTAGGCGGAAAAGGCAAGCCGAAGAAATTAGGAGGTCCATTAATCATATTACTATTTCGGATACTAGAAACAGGGAATGGGGGAGGTCGAAAAGGTTCGGAGGTGACACCCACTGCTCCATTCAAAGGGCGCAATTGAGGTTGTTGTTGAACAGGCATTGGAGACATCTTGAAATTAGTCATCTGAATTGTTTGCAATTTATTTCTTTCATTTGCAGGCGTGATCCAAGCATCCTCGTTAGAATTAACATATGACAGAAGTCTCGAAGTTTTGCTTTTATTTGCTGCTTTAGGAACTGAGAAATCTGGCGCTGGTCGATTTATTGGAAATTGCGGCAACGGACGAACTTGCTCCGTTGCATTGACCATAGATGGAAAACTGGGGGTAGTCGCAAATGGGAATTTCTCAGGAGATGGCGAAACTCCAATATGATGTATTGCTGAAAAAAACATACAATTCTTGCACATGAGTTTTAAACAATTCGAATAAAAAGTTCGTGTAATTGTTATTGCGGAAAGGGATAATTTCAATTTTATGAACACAAGTTTATACTAGTCAAAGCTGCCTAAAACTACAAAAGGAAACTTACGGCTAATGATTTGATTCTTGGGCTGTTGAAAAACTGTTGGTAAACTATAAAAAGAAGAACTGGATGGAGCATTTATATCTTGGTCACCAGAAGAATCAAAAACAATTGGAACTCCATCATTGTCAGAATTATATCCGCCATCATCAGTATCGCGAGATGATTCGGCTATATCTTTACCGTTAACACTGGTTGTAACATCAGGTACTGTTACTGGCTTTGTTCCAGTTAGAGAATCAATTACCTCGTCTTCTTTGCAGTTCTCTTCAGTTTCACTTGTGTTACAATACTTTTTATAGTACGCTTTGATAAATTTGGTACTCCCATCGTTGTAATAATGTCCATTGTTTTTGTAGAAAATTTTTTGGAAGTCATAGTAAAGCTCTTCCCAACGCTTTTTCGCATCCTGGTTTTCGCCAGCTTCTGACTCATCACTGGAAGACTCGACTTTTTTCCGTCTCTTAGATTTTTTGGCCTTCTTTTTCTTTTTACTTTTATGGACTGAAGTTTCTTCATCAGCCTCGTTTTTAATTTCACTTGACGGACTTTCAGCTGAGCTATTGGTATTTACATTTGAATCGTGTTCAACAGTTTCAGTAACAAAAAATGCATCCTCGTCAGTCATATCTATCTAGAGTACAAAAACTACTGCGAATATCCAATATTAGGAAGGAACATAGCCAACAGAAAAAGAAACAGAAAAAAACGAGTTGTATTTTGAAAAAAAATCAGCTTTTGAGTTTGAACACAGAAGCGAAGCCGCTAAGCCTTGCGATACAAACACTTGCGATAAAAAACCAGAAAGCCGCTAGGTCGAAAAAACTGGAATATGTCGAAAGACCCAGATAAAAAAACTGATCCTAGCTTATTTTGAAACTAAAAACATGCCAGGACAAACGAATAGGAAAACTGCATCGAAAGAGATTTTACCAAGCACTAACGATAGCCTTGAGAGGACACCGGAAGAAACAGCAATACACGTTCTGTAGTACCCGAGACACCGACATAAACATTTTGTGCCACAATCAATAAACATTCCTCATCGAATACCATTCCAGCAAAAATTGTACAATTTCAGTATTTCTCTATACTTTATACCGATGGTTAATTCAAAACCTTTTCCCCCTCACCAAGCACTAACGAAGCCGAAAATACCTTTGCAGAAAAGTTCAATCGTTGGAAGGCGAAAGCTTTCACAAAACTTTTTTTAATTGATAAACAAATTCAATAGTTGTAAAAACAGCAAAGGTTAAAAAGCAGTTGGCTTATAGCCCGTTGAGTTAACTTCTAAAGCTTCCAGTAAGCAGGCAGCATTACCGCGTTGCAGTGCAATGCCGAGTCTTTGTTTGAGGAACGTGAATGACCTTTTCTCACCAGTGGTCGTCTTGATTCTATAGGAAATAGAGGATAGAGTTTTGTATGTCGAGCTTCCGATGCCACCAAGATGTTCCACGGCGATGGGCTCGAACATGCAGTTGCGTGGCAGACCAGAATAGTGTTGGCGCTTACGAAATTCAGCATGGTTAGCAACAGTGGGACCATCTTCGAGGCCTGTTGATAGATTTGACTGTGCTTGTCGGTTTACACAGGTAAAGTCCCAGACTAAAGCTGCGCCATTTTTCCATGGAACTAAAGTAGCACCGTCTGGTCTTTTACCATCGTCACGCAGCATACCGGTCGGCTCGAGTTTGCTGTGTACTCCTGCTGATTTCAACGCGTCTCTGATGACTTCATTACCAAGTTGATGCCTGATGAAACGACTTTTGATTTTCGGGCATATAAGTGGATGAATGCCTTGGCTGTCGCATTTAGTGCCACATGCACAGTTGCATGAAAAAAGAAGGGGGGCACCAAGGCGAAGTCCCGTAGCAATTCTGAAAGCGTCATCAGTCAGCTGGAGACCGAGCGTATCAGACGGAATAGCAGCAAGCCAGTCTCCGGAACCGGGAACAGAGCATCCTTGTAAACGAACTTTGTCACTGTCACAGGTGGTGTTAGCTAGGAGAGACGACCGCCTACGAGAAACAATAGGAGTGTACCAGCTTTTCTGCCACTTATGCTTGTCTTCCAGTGGCATATCAGGAGAAACAGTTTCAGACCACAGTTCAATGGCATTCTTGAAGGACTTGCTGGTGTATTGAGACGCAATGACTTTGAAGACGTCTTCACTGGTGGCGAGTGTAGACGAAATATAGGCAGCCAAAGTAAGGTCCGAAGGTGACTGTAAGCCTAGACCACCGAGTTTGATAGGCAATGTGAGCTGATCCCATTCTCTGTTGGTAATCAGAATGTTACTGACAGTTTGAACAGCTCCACGGATATAAGAGGTGATTTTTTCAACAGAGTTCATAAAAACAAAAGTAGGAGCAGTGCGGAACAAATACATGAGCTTAGGCATGGCAAAACAATGTCGGAGCAGGAAAAACGCGACGTGTGAAGGCAGTAACGGAAGATTCTTGCAGAGGTTTTCGATTTTCTCTCTCTTCTCTTCCAATGCATGCTGTAAAGCTGCATGGCCCAGAGGGCTTCCTAGCAGTTCAGCGTCTTCGGTGCTCACGCTGCTGATACCAGGACAGACACGTCTGAATTCACGTAAAATCATATCGCTCTTTTGCTGGTCTTGAGTGAAGACAGTGATTTCACATTTGGTGTTATTGAGGTTTAACCCGAGACCTTTGGCACTGTCAATGAACTTGGCGAGGTCACGCAAAACTATCTGCCACTTGTCTCCAGCACTGATGTCGTCCATGTAACCGACCTTGAACTTGGATGAGATTGCAGTGAGACAGCGATGCACTCCGAGACAGAAACCAAAAGACGCAATTGGGTCCCCCTGTTGGAAACCTTCTCTCGATAGCAAAGTGTGGTCACCATAAACAAGGAAACTCTCCCGCTCGTAGCACATGTTGAAAAAAGGCAAAAGCTCAGGGCAAAACTCTTCGAAAGCAAAAGCAATACTGTCACGACGCATGGTGTTGAAAGCATTGCTGAAATCCAACTTGAGGAAAACGTCATCGTCTGAAGCTAACTCGAAGAAGGAGCGAGCAGCATGGACCGCAACTTCGGCACCATTTTTCGCACCAGCACCAAGTTGAAAGGGACTGAAAGATGACGTTCACAAAACAACCACTACTGAAGATGACGCTCGACTTGACATCAAGGCGAATGGACTCTGGGGAGGCCGATTCAGCCGAAGCTTTTTCGAAGTAAAAATTTTCACTTCCCATGCTAAATCCAGCCTGAAAACATATCTGACGCCAACACATGTAACATTGGCCCGGAAGATACATATCGACGGATAACAAAACTAAGTCTTAAGACGACTGGCTAACGTCTAAACAGAGCTTTGCATGCTTTTCACCGTCTCTACCAAGCCAGTACTTTTCGGTGGTCTTTCTAACATCGGGTCGACAAAAACGTTACTGTTCTCCGGCTTCGACCAGAACGCTCAAATTAACTTAATTACATGCAAATAGTGAGCTCATGGCTGGGTCTCAGTATCCCCAGACCACGAGGTCACTCCTAAAAACAGGGCTACTATTTATTATATTACTATTGTTTTTGTTCAGTAGATAGAAATCATCATCTCCATCGAAGATGGATCAACCCTTTCCCCCAACTCCTAGCACCTCATCCTTGTCAAAACTAATCCAAATATCAATTAAATTCAAGTCAGGACATGACAGGATGCTAAAAGTTCATATAATAGGCTAAAAGTTTCAGTCCCGAAACCCTTCCGGATTTGTGAATCCACTGAATCAAGCTCCTTAAGTTCGATTTCACGATAACACGGAAGGCTGTCTCTTACCCTTCACCGTTGCTCGCAACGGCCTTGCAACTATTGTAGCAGCACAATAAATGCAACTCGGAACGTCCTCTGCTATTCGTTGTCGTTTTCTTCAATTTCGATATCTTCGATTTCGATAAAGTTGTTCTCGTCAGCGCAACTAATGTTGTTGTGTTTTCTCTCTCGTTCTCTGTTAAAATGGCCGTTTCAGCATTTCTCAGAAATGTGACGTCATCATTCGAATTTTTGAAATTTTAAAATACTAGAATATTCCAGCCCTCACAGTCTGGCCAAACGTTCCAATAACACTATTAGTTCTTAAAAACCACCAATCCGGAAGGCTTACTGCTAAAATTCCGAATTCTGCAGAGATTGCATTTTGGCCATTCTGGTCGAATGTCACAACATCAAGCGTGAACAAAAACACAAAAAAAACTTCTGCATGTGGAACACAGCAGCTTTGTTCCACTAATTTTTGCTTGTACTGGTGGAGCAGCACCAAGCTCTACATAAACCGTCCATGTCACATCACTAAACTCAATTTACGGTTGTGTTTTATTATTTGACCCAACCAAATTACTTCAAGGCCCTATTTGGAATATACGACCACGGACTATATTTTCTGTGAGACATCAAGATGTGAACGAGCGGAATAGCGAACATCGTTACGAAAGAAAGATGAAGTAAACATTTGAATTCAAACTAAAAACTCACTCCGAAAGAGACTTGATGGTGAAAAACAGAGTGGCCAATAGTTACTGATAACTTTGTTAAGTAAATTTGATGAGTGTAAACAATAACATATACTCGTGGTTTAAAAAAAACTGTAAGATATCCGCGAGAGTCACCAAGAGACTCGAAATTAAAGCCTCTGCCTGAACTTCTTTCTCTGTCCTTTGAGCCATCAAGGGATACCGCCCTGCGAACTGAACGACATCCGATATATCTCTCGGGCATAGAACTTTCCTAGTCATTTGGAAAACGACTAAATAACAAACTCAGTAATACTTAGTGTAACAGTCGCCTACTTAAGTCACATATGAGGTTGAAGAAAAATAGGCCCAATAACTATTGGCTCAAGAGTCAGGGACACTATCTCTTGTGTTTTCTTATCTCGAACGGTCGGAAACAATTCGGTTCACTTGCGAAATGAAACTAAAATCATCGTTACAGCTTAAAGGCCACTACCAAAATACACCCCCACTCTAGAAAATAAGAACGTCCACATACTTGGGTCTAAAAATAACCAAAATACGCGAACGCCGTTAAAAACAGGGTCGGAACATTCCGTTTTAGACAGTGGAACTTTGATCCACTTCAGATGGATCAACCTAAAACTCTCCCTACCTCAACATAACAAGTAAAAAACACGCTCAAGAAAACTAAATTGGGTACTCACACACTCGAGAATTGGAGTAACTAAATTAATCAGCATCTTTAGCATTAAAGGGAATTAGGTTTTGACTCAAGAAGTTTGCAATTAATGAATTCCAGCAAAGGAAATGAGTTTTGACTTGAGAAATAAGTTTTGGGGCTGGACCATTGGGAGACCTCGGTTGTCCACCTTTCCGCCGAAGGTTCACTCTGGTCCACTTCTAATAAATATCTTCTCTTCTCGTAATCGTTCTGTCTCCTAATTCGGGGTAAGACAGCTCTACTCTAGTGTGATTTTATGTCTGGAAGTTGCGAATAGCAATTTCCCGCTGCTTTTTTCAACCACTTTCCCGCGATTGTAGTTCGATTGTTCTGATCTTATATTTCTGAGATTTTCAGTTGTCGCGAGATTCGAATTTTTGAAAAATTCCATTTCACCCCAAAATTACGTTGCTCGTGTTGCTCAAGGTCAAACTTCCAA